GCTCATGCATTTACATTACCCTTTCAGTCATCTATTTGATAATTTGACTGAATCGAGTCTGTAAAGTGGCCTAAGACGGCATGTGTTGTGAATTGGTGCTACGTAATACATCAGATTGAATTGAACGGATTGATTTAGTTTGGGTTCTGATTGATTCTGTTGGGACGTGACTTCTCATTTGCCTAGATTTCATTAAAGGCGGAGGTTTTAGTGCAGAGCTTAAAGACAAAGATCTTTAAATGAAAATCAGACTTCATCTGAAGGGCCTCCTGAGAGCTTTCCACTCATTAACCTTCCGCAGGTTATCTGCTGATCACAGAGTGCAGATAAAAATAGCCCCTCATTTCCCCTGTGTAGACCAGAATGTGTGCTTAATCAATCTGAACATCAATGTGAAGCAGAAAGGCTAACATTTGTACTTTTATTGCCAGAGGACACTTACTGTCATAGCTGAAATAAAAACAACAACTTTTTTTTATTGAGTGTTAATCTGCAATACTTTTTATAAAGCACTGCTGCTTGCACAGTGGACATAAATTTAGTTTTTCTCGGTTAAAAGAAACTCCCATGTATTTGACTGAGATTTCAAGTGATAAACCGACATGATGTAAATATAAAAGAAATTAAAGTTTAAACATATTCCCTAGTAAATATCTGATAGGTGTGGCTAACATTACTAACCCAGCTCTTCACTTTGATACTTGTGGGTCCAGAGCAGGTGAGCGGAGCGAATATGGTGGAGCGCAGAGCGGTTTTCAATTCAAAGGCAGGAGCGAGGATTTCGCTCACAACTTAAATTCAAAATGTTTAATTATACATTTGGTAAAATAACATTTACTTGATTTAAGTCTGGTAAAATAAATGAATAATTAAATAGGAAATGCAGGGCAACATGAATGGAGGGAGGTGTTACGTTCACAGCTGGGAAACGATAATTTAACATCCAGTTAAATAGGAAAATACACATGTATTGGTCACATCATTAAATTAAACGCCGTGTGTCCCTGGGCCCTGGATATATATATAATTACATGAAGGAAGAATGTCAGAAAATGCCTTCTCCTGCAAATTTGAGCGAGTGTGGAGCGATTTTGCCGGGGCGACAGGAAAATTAACAGGATGTATACAGGAATGAGTAACTCTAATTTAATGCTTTTTAATGCTCTTAGAAATAATTGTAATGCAATCAACAAGTGTCCATGATTCATATATATATAATATATATATTAGTGTTGCGCCGATGCTATTTTTTGGCCCCAATACCTGGCTGTGCAGTATCGGCCGATACCGATACCATAATAATGTAAAATAGTTGCCATCATGGCTTTGTCAAGTTGCTGCCTACCTTTGTAAAGCAGGATAAAAACTAATACAAAGTGAATCCAGTAGAACTTTTTATTGTCTACCTGGAATGGGTGACAATAGTTGAATAAACTTATGGCTCTCAAAATGGTATCGGTGCCCTATTTGTTTGTACTCGCCGATACCGATACTACCATTTTAGGGCAGCATCAGGGCCCCGTCCAATACTGGTATCGGTATCGATACAACACTAATATATATATATATATGTATATATTAGGGATGGGACGATTTATGAAAACCGTCAGAATCGTTCGGTTCGACTGTCTTGGTTCGGTTCGCGTGTGTTTCGTTCGGGTCATGCGCTGCTCCTTTTTCTCATAG